CTTTAACCAGACGTCCCTGCTTCCACTCAAATCCACTGTCATTGATGTCTTTTTTTATTTCATTTTACCACAAAACATTTCTCAAATCTTCCAGGTCATTCCAAATAATTAAGGGTCCTGGAAATGAATGACCTTAATAAAAAAACTGGATTTATTTAACCTCGGTAACTTCAGCAAATGCTCTGATCCTCAGTGGTCCAAATGGAAGTCCTGGACAAAGAAGACACCAAAACCATGAACCATCAGCTTTATGCAGATGGTAGATTCAAAGCATTACCATCATAAAAAAATAGAAGAAATACTGAACAACCACAAACATAAAGAGATAAAAAAATTTAAACATGGTTTGAACTTGAAMCAAACACATTCTCAAACAATTCCAACAATCCACTGACTTCAATCATGCCAAACGTTGAGGCACTCACACATTTTAAACAGAATATATACATAATGAGAACGATATAACCTCGCTTGGCTGGCTCTAAAAAGGAAATGAAATGAAACCGGAGCTTTTGATCAAGACAAAAAAACAAATTAAAAACTTGCGCCATCTTTTAAAAGGTTGCTTTGTGTTTACATAAAGAGGATCTTTTTGCTGCCTTTGTGGCAAGGTAATGGGAGAAAAAAGGGCTGTATTTAAGAAAAAAAAGAGCAACATTTAAAGAAGGAACAAAAAGAAAGCTGAAGGCTCAATCCGATCCACAGCTCCACAAAGTCTCAGACTACTGGTTCCCTGGAGGCTACGCAGAACTCAGCTGGCAGGCGGCAATCACAACCTATCAGCATCTTCGCAGCTGAACTGCGAGCAGAATACAAATCAGTGGATCAGATGGAAAAGGGAATGACTCAGAGATAGTTTTTTCCTCAGTCTGAGAGTAAGAAATTCCTCTTCGGTCTAGTGGATTGCTTCTGATGCCCCATCAGAGAATAAAGTCAACTTGTTTTCCTCAAACAGTCAGGAATACAGAAACTCATCACCGGCAGCTAAAGTTGTTTCAGACTATTTTTCCTACCTACAAGTATCCCAGTGACTAGGTGAAGCTAATAGCAGTCATTGCAGGGTAACAATGAAACAACCAAGTTTTTCTGGCACATTTTAAACAAACACATTACAAAACTACATAAAAACAGACACAGATGAAGTGTTATCCTACCAGTGGCACCAAGGAGTTTTCTTTTGGTCGTTGTGACAAAACTGCTGCTAATCACCATGATACTGTACATGTGTAAATATCAGTAACAACAAATCAAATGCACAAACCTCAGTAAACCGAAGCAAAGGACAGGCGGGCTCTCCAGAGGCTGGTGCGATCAGCCCAGTGGATCACACACAGAGCTCCCCAACGTATAGACCATCTACAACAAGCGATGCTGTACCAAATCCAGGAAGATAATAAAAGACACAAGCCACCCAAACTATTGATTCTTCACTGCGCTTATGTCAGAAAAGCACTACTGTGCCCTCGAGACCAAGACAAAGAGGAGTTTCTAACCGCAAGCTGTTTGGACTCACAACAAAGACACAAACGTCTGATCCTACTGATGGTGGTCAGAGGGTCCGGTGGCGCCGGTGCACGGCAGCTCCGCCTCTGTCAGCCGCCTGCCCCAGGGCAGCTGTGGCTACAGTGTAGTTTGCCACTATCATTGTGTGAATGTGTGTGTGAATGTGTGTGTGAATGTGTGAATGTAAAGCGCTTTAGGGTCAATGTGGACTTGATTAAGCGCTATATAAGTTCAGTCCATTTTACCATTTAAATGCAACAATTATTTTAAAAAAGGAGAACTTTACCTCATGCTTTATATATATA